TTCATAACACTGTTTCCTCTGTACCCTCCAATACCTGTCTGTATCGCGCCATTTTATCTTGTTTATTGCCACTTTGGTTAAAACTTTACATGAGAACATTTGAAACCGCAACCTCAGCACTCCAGCTGTTGTGGAACTACAAGCCCCATGAGGCATTGCAAGACTGACAGCCAAAGGCTTGGCAAGCTCAGTTACCCACGCTGCTTCCAGAGCTGACATTTGAACTTTTAATGGGTTTTTTTTAAGTTGTAAAACTTTTAGGTAATAGAAATACAGTACATTTTAGCCTTGTAGTTTTTGGGTGGGGCAATGACAATTTTTTAGGAATTTTTAAAACGTGCTGTTGAATGGCACCTTCACTGCGTATGTATGTTTAGAACACTTTGATGTGTGTTTTTATGCAAGTGAACACATATTTATGCACAGATGTCCCCAGTGAAAGATTTCCCCCACACATCCCAATTCAGTGGCAGCTGCAAAATGTTGGATTTCCCATCATTTCCTGTCCTGGTGACAGTGGTCAGAGGGTGAATCTCTCCAGCAGGTACATAGACCGCAACTAAAACCTGACAGGCATCCAGCACTTCCCCACTCCACCCAACACTAGAAAAAAAGTTGGGGCTTTAGGTATATTTTAATGTTTTTGTTCCCCCATTACCTGCAGAATGCTCTCATGCGTTATAGGCAGGCACACAGAGTTCAGGTATGTGTCAGAAGGTCGGGTTTAAGCACATTATATGTTTATGTTTAAAATAAATGCAGGTTCAAAACACAATAGCTCATGTAACTGCTTGAACATGTTTGTTATTTATTTGACTGGAGCAGTACTGTAAAGAACGCCTCCTACTGCTATACCCACTTCATTTAGTTTTGAGTAGAGCAGGGAAAGGTTAGTAGTACCTTAGTCAGGCATTTATTACTGCTTGGTTCACATTGAGTTATTTTCCCCTCACTTTCTCTTCCAGATATACCCCGTGGTTAGGGTGTCGTCTCTGTAGCAGGAAGTGAGGAACAATCGCTAAAACGGGGGGAGCAGTGACCTGTGTTGAAAGCATAGGCCGCATTCACACAGGTTGTCAGTGTCCACATGCGGCAACAATCTTAGGCTCCATTCACACAAACGCGCTAAATATAAAAAATAATACATTCCAATGTATGTTGTTCACACTTGCGCAATGTTCGCGCGGTACGAAAACGCTCATCATGCAAAAAGTCCAAGCGCAATATTCTGGGCAGATTCCGCAAATGTTAAAATTTGCACATTTTAGTGTCGCGCAGAAAATGCAAATGCTATGTGTGAATGGAGCCTTACGGTGGAATGACAGATGGTTCCGGCCTGTACAAAACAATGATAGACTGACTTGAGCCATAGCTGTCCGCTGCTGTTTGCCTGTATCCACAAATCCAGCAGTGACTAGGGAAAGATGACTGACCCTGGATGCATTCTGTCTGTGCCCAGAGCTGGTCATCTGTCCCTGACTGCAGGTACCGGCTAAAATGTGCAGCTCAGGTGAGTATACGGCGGCGTATGGCCTTGTCCTCCCATAGAGAACAGGATGCTGCGTACAATCACACGCAGCACCTGTCCTTCCCGGGACCAGCCCGATACGGCCGTGCGCGCCGCACATGTCTGTATGGACCGACTCTAAGCTGTGTGAATGAGGCCTTAAAGCTCATATGAATGAGGCCTTATAGTAAAATCTTCAACTGCAGAGTCAACAGCTCGTTAGGCTACTTATGCCTAGTCAGTGAACTTCTGAAAGTGCTTTTCTGGGAGAAACATTTCTGTTACATTTCCCTGTGGCCTATTTCGCAGCTTGGAGAGCTGAATGTTCTTTCAGTTACAGATCCATAAAACTCGTTGGCAGTGCTGAAAACTTAGGCCTTGTAGCCAATGTTGCAGGTGGAGGTTAGGTGGGTTTCACTGAATCAGAATGCTGCTTATTGCCACATTTCTGATGGTCAGCCATGTTGGTGTCTTCCAGGGATCTCCATTTCTATGGGGTCACGTCGGTTTCACTTTCTGATGTGTAACACTCTTCGTTCTGCAGGGAATTTCTGGTTTTCAGGGCCCTGATCCTAACAAGTAAAATGAAGGAGTTTCATTTTAGAACATTGATGACATCACATACAATTGGTGACCCACAAGGCTCAGTAAGGTAAGGATAATTCCAGCAGAAGATGGTCTCAGGTAAAAAAAATAACATAGCCACACGTCTAGGCAATATTTAAAAAAATCGTATACAAAATATATGCAGTACATCTCGCCAATACATGTATCCCCCCCCCCCCCTCCCTATTTTATCTTTTTAAAGACCCTGCAAGGACAGAAAATACCTGTTGTTCTGCCAGAAAAGCAATCAGTATTTTTGTGGCCCGAGTGGTCTCCCACTCACAGATCTCTACAACAGGAAGACTAATCATTCCGTAGTCCAAAATAACACCTAGGAGAGTTTTATAGACTTTGAGATAACACAGGAAGTGTGCACAAGACATAGGGCAGCTCTGAATTTCTGACAAGATCAACAGGATTTTTTTTTTGCACTTATCAAACAGATATAACAAAATGCTTCCAATGGTATATTAAGTAGACCAAAATGGGAAAAATAGAAGTTCTCTGTTAGTGTTATACACTTTAAAGTAGATTCTCATCCTCCCACAGCATTTAAACATCAGGAAAAAAAGAACAACAATCTCCAAACAAACAGCTAAATGCACTGTTAAAATATATTTACTGATTGCCAAAGGATTTGTAATTCTATTTGGCCAGTGTTGTGATTTATACTCATCTGCTGCACTGTACAGTCAGGTGACCATACTTATTTCCTGGTTCAGCAATGCATCCTACTGTGTCCCCCGTCTGTCTCCAACCTGCAGCATTTTACTTACCTTATCCCTCTCTCCCCCCAGGCTCCTCCTCTCCATACAACTGGTCACCTGAAGCTGCTTCTCTTCTGCGCTCTGTCAGTTAGTTGCACTCTGATGTCATCATGTACAATGTAGGACAAGCAGCCCTGGATTGTAAGTGAGAGCATCAAGGGGCTGCCCACAATCCAGAGCATGAGAGGGAAGAGGAAAAGTCAGGCTGCTAGGGGAGCAAAGGATAAGGTAAGTAAAACTGTTTTATTGTTCCCCTACACAAAAATGAGCATTAACCCTTGCAGTGTGGGAAAAAGTCAAGAGTAGTTATTACATTTCCCCAGAGTTCAGCTTTAACAAAGTAAAGAAGCATTAAACACGTATTAAAACCCTCAAACTTTTTTTAAATAATGAATCCAGTTCAAACAAATATACATTACCCAGCAAAGTATTTCCTAAATTGGCACCTAAGCACTTACAGTCACCATGTCTCCAAACAGCTGCTTCCAACCTTCTCAGCATGGCTATCCTAAACTGCCTGTGCAGTACAAGATCACAAGGGACAGACCAGTCTCCAGCAGCTGTTCATCTACTAGCTTGGAGAGGGGAGAAGGGAAGAGCGAGGAGCAAGGGGAGTGGCTTGCTTTGCTGCGCTTGTGTGTTTGTTGAAACACAAAGCTTACTAGCACACACAGAGGTGCCTCCATAGGACCCTGCAAGGGAAAGGAGCCACCCTAAAACAGGATATCAGGGCCAGTGCTCGGGGACCAGCTAATTTTACAGGAAACTAAAGCATGTAAACATCAAGGAGCATCATCCATTGTGAGTTTATCAGCACTTGAAATAGCTTAAAAAAAACATTTAACTCTAATATCACTTTCATTTCAACTCTGTATTCAGTTGTTTGCCAGGAGTTCCATTTGTTTTAAAAAATTTATTCAGGTAACTGTTTCAAGCTCAACTCCAGCCCAAAAAGGAGATGTCCCCAGGGGAGCACAGACAGCAGTACATATCTTCCATGCTCTAATATTAACAGATAAGATGAGCCTGGGTCAGGCTTTAAGCAAACCCACCAATGTGTACATGTATCTTTCTTTATACTGCAATGCAATATGCAAGCTGAAAGTTAAAAGCAGACTTGTAGTAGAGTTTCTTGCTCTTGGGCAATAAGAGAAAGAAACTATGTTAGCCTATAGGAAAGGGTTTGTGAATTTCACCCCCTTTTTGCAGCTATAGGGAATACGGATCATGTGTTTAAAGGAGAACTATGAGATGAGTGATTTCCACTCACCTCATAGTTCTAGCCGACCTGTGACAATGAGACTGTCAAAGGTCGGCTCAGTAGATCGGGAGGTGAGCGAACACATACCGGGTTCGCTCACCTCTCGATCCTGTCACGGCTCTCTGCCGTGACAGGGGGAGGGGCTGGATTCCCCTCTCCCCGCTCCGATCTGCCAGCACTGACTGGCAGAAAGGACGGGGAGGGGACGGGTACAGCTGGCTCTGCCTCTAGATAGGCAGAACCAGCTGTCACTCACGCAGCTGGGCGGATCCCGACATCCAGGTCAGGATTTGCTCCGGCTACGGCGTGCGAGCTGTAGCTCGCGGTATACTGAGCTTAGGGTAACGGGAGGACGCTAGTTTGTGTCCTCCCGTTACCCTAAGGAGAACTATGGGGAAAAACACTGACCCCATAGTTCTCCTTTAAGTGCATTAGTTGCAGGGCTGCAATGGTATGTGATGGGGCCCCATAGCAAAACCATTAAGTGTCTCTTTGATCACAATCTCCAAAGTTCTCTTGCGATACAAAATGCTAATTCGTAATAGTGAACCCTAACTATGTATGCACGTTCATTTTATCCAAATTTACTTGCCAAATGATACTGCTACATGCATGAATTCCATTTGCATTGTGATTCTGGGCCCCATAGCAGTTGCATTGTCTTTGTCTGCTATAACCATAGTTACACATTTGGTTTTCTGACAGGTAAAACACTTCCCACAACGTTTTCACAATGTGTATTTAGCCGTTTGGATGACAGTGCCCTTCAAGATAAACAGAGAAATATAGATCCAGCATATTTTGTAAACGTTGCACAATATTATAAAAATAACTATTCCAAAGCAGATAACCTCACACACTACCTGCGATAATCTTCAAAGCTCTTGATCTTCCTCTTTCCTCCTGAATGCCGGTTCACGGGACTGTGTGCCTGCACAAAAAGGAGATCAGCAATGGATATTAAATTATCATTGACATTGCCTAAGGTAAACCATCAAGACAGTGACATTTAAAGTGGAACTCCCATCACAGCTTTTTTCAATCCTTCATATATACCAATGACACATTGACTTCCAGTGGCTTCTCCAAAAGAACATGCGGAATACAGCACAGGGAGGAAAAACAGGAAGTGCTGCATGTCACCAAGAAAGGAAAAAAAGACAATCTCAGTGGCAACACAAACCTGTCCCAGGTTGGCTTCCCAAGGATCACACTGGGCTGACATACCAGGGAGGGGTCAAGCTAGATACTTACAACTTTTTATCCAGTTGTTGTGCTTGCGATGTTTCTTGTAAACATGGGAACAGTCAGAATTATTTTCCTTGTCAGTCAGGCAATTTTGTTGCTGGTGCCGCATAGCCAACAGCAGAATCACTTGGGAGAGGCTTCCAATTGTCCTTATGGAACTGCTCCCTCGCTCTCGCTGGCCTGAACGCCAAATATCCCTCTCTAGCAAGGGAGCGCCTCCATAGGAACAGGTAAGTGGTAAGTTAGTGATCCTGTCACTGGTGAGTTGCTGACAGTGACAGGGTCATTTCTGTGAGATCACTCATCAAGACAGTAAAAAGTATGAATATAATTTGTTTTATGCTTTCAGTTACAACAGGTTCAGCTAAATTAACTAACAGATCCAGGTAACAAAATCCATCAACTCCCATGACTCTGCAGGAAACAAGGCAATTGTAAGAACATCATAAAGTCAGCTTCACCTTTGATTGAGAAGGGTTTTCAGAAGGCATTTGTACAGGACTGCAATCCCTTGCCAGTCACTGTGCTATGCAACTTTCCTCCATCAAATCAGCAAACACTTGAAGGCTACCATGTGTGGAGTGGACCAATAGTGTGTTTTTATTATTTAGGGGCGCACATAATTAGACTATAGTAAAAGTGCACGTAGCTATGCTGCAGTGAGATGACAGAGGGCAAACCCTAGCCTGTAGAAACAAAGGTTTGGCACTGTGTTCCCAGAACACCAGATTAACTGCAGTCAATGCAATGTGGATCAAGGAGCTTGGACACGTAGTTTGTGTACCTTGCACATAGCTGAATGCTACATTTTTCAGTTTGACATGAAACTGTTAAATTTGAGTTGCCGGCGTAAACTATTCTTTAACCATTTGAGCACCAGCATGTTAAACCATCTAAACCACTTCTTGTACAGGGCATTTTACAGTTTTCAGTGCTGTGATACTTTGACATTTATTCTGTTATGCAACACTGTACTCAAATACATTTTATATCATGTTTTAGACAGTTACAAAAAAAATTATTTCCCCTTAATTTCTGTTATAAAACATATCAAATAAAAATGACAGGACAAAACCCCAAAAATTACCCCTTTTTGTAAAGTAGACACCCCAAGGTGATCTGAATGAAGAAACATACTGATATTGATGGGATTAAAACATGGAGCATGGTAATGGTGCACAAGATATATTAAAGCAGAATTCCGGGCAAACAATTGCCTTTTTTAACCTAAACAAAAACGAGCACTTACCCCTTGCAGTGCAAGGTAGCCCCACTGCAAGGGGTAAGTGCTTGTTTTTGTCTTGGTTAAAAAACAAACAGTTAGGCCCCATTCACACTGAGCGATTCTCAAATCGCGCGTTTGTCGCGTGATTTGCATTTTGCGCAATATTACTCGGTTTGTCGCACAGCATCGCGCAAATGGTTGCATTGAGCAAACTAGAATCGCGGCAAAATCCGCTCCAAAAAGGGTCCTGCTGTAGTGACGCACGACCCGCGACAGCGACGTACAGAGCCCCATTGCCATGCATTGGAGAGAGATATCGCGCGGTAAATATCCGCGATCCGCGCGATAAATCGCTCAGTGTGAATGGGGCCTTATACTCACCTGATTCTCGGAGCGGGCTTGCTCTTAGACCGATCCCTTCCGCCTTGGAACAGGGGACTGGAGGAAGGACCAGTCTAAGAGCAAGCTGGCTCTGATGATCAGGTGAGTATAACTTTGTTTTGTTTTGTTTTAAACTAGACAAAAACGAGGGGGTGGCCCCTCTGCAAGGGTTAGGAAAATTTTCCCTGTTACTACTGCCTTAAATATACAGGTTATACACAAAGTGAGAAGGTGAAGGGGTTAATATACATGTTACATACAGTGGGAGGATGGAGAAGGGGTTATTGTACAAATGTGTAGGATAAGGGAGGTGAGGGGTTAATGATCAGATCAGGGACAGGATGGAGCAGACATATACAGGAGAGGGGTGAATGGGCACTGGTGCTGGATGAAGCTGTTTCTGGTACTTACTGGTACTTATTTACACTGGTGCTGACTGTGATCGGCAAGTTTTCAAGGAAAGTGAGAGCTGGCTGCCAATTACAGCCATTGTTTACAATGTGATATTCTCTGATTGGTCACAGCAATCACTTGGTACAGAACCGCCCTCAACTCTGTACAACTTCTATAACCAAACCCCCCCCAAACAAAAAAACAGACATGGTACATACATGTATACACCAATGTTAACATTTATTAGTAAATGTTTTTTATTTGGACTTTCACACAGACAGGTTTACTTAAAGTAGCAAAGTTATCACCCTACGAAATGTTCCAGGTTGAAAATGGTGCCAGGGTGTCAACTTTGTGCCTGTAAAAAATGGCATCTTACGTTTGCCTCTGTCTTGGATGTCTCCTCATGATCCCCTCCATTTTCTAGTGATCTTGATCGATTCTCTGTGCAGACAGAAAAATATAATCCGACTTTATAGGAAATTATAGCATGTTAATTAATAAGAAAACCCAAAAACATACTGGTAGGTTAGTTGGCTCCTCTCTAGGTTGGCCCTCTATGTATGCATGTGAGATAGGGGCCTTAGATTGTAAACTCCTTGAGGGTAGGGACTGATGTGAAAGTGCAACTATGTAAAGTGCTGCGTAAATTGTTGGCGCTATATAAATACCTGCAATAAATAAATTAAAAAACATGTTCAGTTTATCTAATACAGCTAGGGATTTATGTTTACTTGCCCTTTAAACTAGCCACATTTTCCATTTTCAAGTTAAAGAAGAAAAACTCTGGTAAAAGTTATTCTTAATCCTTGCAGTGGGGCTACCCCCGCACTGCAAGGTCTAACTAGTTTTCATCTAGGGTGTAAAATAAAATAAAAAAGTTTCACTCACCTGAACCCTGCAGCCGACCGGCTGAAAAACCGGCCCCGCCCCTGCAGCCTATCCTCCCCTCCGCTCTGGTGGACTAAGGTCCTGCGAGTCATCACGTCAGAGGCGTAACTAGAACCTTCAGGGCCCCGATGCAAGAAGCCATAAAGGTAACAATTGGATGAAAACGGGCACCCCCCCTCCTTCCCACTCCCCACTCCAGACGTACCTTCCTTCTCCAGCAGGGCCCTCTCTCTTCCTCGTCTCCCTGGTCAGGCGGTGGGGCTAAGAGGGTCGGGTCCTCACACAGCAGAATGTGCTGCCTGGCGGTGCCTGCAGCATATTCTGCTGGTGACAGCCTCTCCCATCCCTGCCGCACAGCTGCCCGTACATGCTGCGGCGGTTGTGCGGCAGGGAAGGAGCAGCACTCTCTCGGGGGGGCCCTCTTCTTGCTCGCTGGGCCCCCCCCAAGTGGCGGAACGCCAGGGCCCGGTCACGATTGCGACCCTGGTAGTTCCGCCAGTGCATCACGTCCTATACAGTGCATAGGATGTGAGGACGGTGAGGGACATGGATGCTGCATGCACAGGCAGGTATGATAAGAGATTTCCCAGTGAGCGCTTTATTGGGGTTTGCACTATGATATTTGGACTGCTTTGGGACTGATGGCTTTGGGACTAATGCATGGCAAGAATACAGCATGAAAGTATAACATATTAGAGATAATCCCTAGCAATGTACAGCTGGTCCAACACTAACAGGGAATTGTGAATACATTCTATGGCCTGAGTTCAAGTGTCTCTTTATTGCATATAGAGGTGTCTTGGCGCGGCTGTGCGGCTTTCACATTTTCTGCAGAAGACGTGTATCCAAACCTCTGTTATTATCCTTAGTGGTGAGACAAGTTGTTTTACATGCTGACTTGAGTGTGCCATGATGGCTTTCTACTGTTTACTGTTTAAAGCCCATTTCGTGTGCACCTTACTGTATAGTTGGAAACAAATTGTTGAGTCAAATCGTTTGTCATTTGTTTTGCTTGACCGATTTGGTGCAGTGACGCATGGGGGTTCTCAGCTGCCATTGGGATGTGCGGGATCCCTTGTGTGTTCCTATGCCTTTAACGAGGTTGGGCTTCCTCCTGACAAACCTGCACCCAATTTGAAATCTTCTGCCCCCATGTGCTCCAAGATGGAGACTCTCATAGTTTAGAGTTAGGACCGCACTATAAGAGGTGCCTTGGCGCGGCTGTGCGGCTTTCACATTTTCTGCAGAAGACATGTATCCAAACCTCTGTTATTAACCTTAGTGGTGAGACAAGTTGTTTTACATGCTGACTTGTGAGTGTGCCATGATGCCTTTCTACTGTTCTTTATTGCATATACCCCCATTCAATACAAACCCTCCTATATGACAGTATTGCATTTATGTTTATGAATTGTGGATCTGCATAGCACAGGATAGTGCATGGTGAACCATCCAAACCTTGGCTGTAGATCCTGAAATCATCTCTGAATTGGTGCTGACACTGTCCTTCCTTCCGTAAAGTAGCCATCGCTCCAAGCCCGCTCCCGTGATGGACTACGATCGCACAATTAGTTTATTTAATTTGTATTGAGATTATAGTCCATCACGGGAGTGAGCTTGGAGCGGTGACTACTTTACAACACACAAGGACCATGGGGAACAAAAGTAGCCCCCCTCCAGAAGGAAGGAAAGTGTCGGCACCAATTCAGATGATTTGAGCATCTACAGCCGAGTTATACACAAATAAGCTATATTTTTGCTAATAGTTAGGGTACTTGAATGCATTTCAAGGTTGAACGCCTGAGTTTAGTGTCACTTGTGTTTGTAATTGCAGTTATTTGAGGTTTTAAGGAAATGTGAAGTAACTAGGGAGTATTAACAATTCAAAAATGCGCAAAAAATGCATGCTTCTTCAAAAAACATGGAAATTGTAAAGGTTTAATATGTGTGTCCTGCAGGGAATATTTTAAAGGGTTTTTAATGGTGTGTGATATTTGTGCTACGTTATATGTGATTAATGAGTTTATATTTTATATATAAAAGGGAGCTTATATTTGGTTAACTAGAGATAGACATCTTCATTTTGGGACAGTCTGTGTTTTGAAATATATCAATTCCTATATCAATTCAGGAGTGTTCTCTCCATCTAGATATTATTATTAAACAATAAATTATTGTTAAACATTGGATACCTTGTCCCAGCTGCTGTTGAATCGCAAGACTGACTAAAGAGAATTACAAATAGTGTGATAATTAGAAGTTAGAGTTCTGCTTTAAGGTCACTGAAGGTGGAGAACCCTCCTAAGTTTGAAAATGAAAGCGATTTTATATTTTCAACATAGCTATACTGTATATTATATATTACACATGGAATTACATATTTTAGCTGCAGTTTAATACACAACTTACTACCGTGTTGCGTCTTGTCCTCACTGATAGAATTAGTAGTCTTCAAAGAAAAAGAAAAAATAGAATAAGTCACAAAAGGCAAAATACCAACAGCCCTTTGTAAGCAATCAACCATCAAAAGGGCCATTCCATCCTAAACTAGGATATGCTCGTGTTAGTGTTCACAGGGGAAGTTATTGTGGGGTGGGTGTAAGTGAGAAAATCCACAGAAAATGTCAATTATAAGTGAAAGGACTATTTGTATCACCTTACTTACTTCTTGAGAGCGGCATGATGAATATTCATCTGCATCCGAGGACTAGAAAAGACAGACAAAAAAGCATGTTATCACCGGTTGTCTGGCTTAATAAACCCTCCGCACCTTCTGTGACCCATTACGTAGGAATGCCTTGCATATAGCTACAGAATTTTGTACCCTCAAGGCTGCCAGCTTCTCCTAAAGAACAAAGTAGCTAAGCAGGAGAGCAGAGCATTCTGGGAAATATTTTAGTGGCCATTCACTAAGTGGACCTTCTAGATTCTACCCACGGCTCTGTTCTCTGCACAGGCTATATGCAGCAAAGCAATTATTTTACCACTTTTGCAAGCTAATATCAAACACCTTTTGACTATATGTTCTGTTGCTCTTGTGAGAAGAGAAGAAAGATGGAATACAGTGTCTAGAAATCTCCCTGCTTATAGGAAATGATATATTGGCGCAATCCTACAACACTAACATTGGTAAATGAATGTAGACTGAGACTAGGCCAGCAAGGAATACCTGAACTATAACTCAGAAGTCTACAGAGACCCAGCAAGACAGTCAAGAAATGCCATTTAAAATAGTTGACTAGCTAGACCAGCTGTTATATTTATTGATCACTGTCAGACTAGGAGGGTCAACCAACAATGTACTGTTCACTCAAAAATAGAAAGTATCACATTTACAATACCAATTGGTTAAGTTGAATAATAATGAATGGCAGCATGGGAATCTTCCATCACTGCCATTCAGACAGACATTCTCTGACTGCAGGCAGTCCATACTGGGTGAGATTTGTATAAATCTGGAAAACCACACATCTGCCTAGTCTGGTAGAAGAGACTGCGTAAGTGTCTTCTCTGCCATAAAAACCTCTTGCTGCCATTCAGCATTTTTTTTTGCCAATCACATGCGCAGCTCAGTGCACAGACCCAGCATGCCGAGATGATGCAACTCCGAACATATGCATGACATTTTTTCATACTAGCCTACTAGCACATTATGGCTAAAAGTTCCAGCCTCCCTCCCTCCTTTTTTTTTTACACTTTCTGCTTTAAATATCAATTTAAATGTATTCTCTTTCTCTGGTAGTTAAACGTTAACACAGATAAGAAAATAATTAAATGCTCATTGTCTCTGCAAATGTTGCCGTGCACTGGGTTGCATTTTCCAATGCATTTCCAATGCATGGGCATGAGAGAAAAAAAACGTGTTTTAAGTACAATCCATTCCCACTGATGAGTTGTATCACATTATAAAAAAGAATAGATGACACATTTTGGGTACTTGGGCTGCAGGTTTTCAGAAGTCAGATAAATGGAAACTTTCAATACGGCCTCACAGCACGTCTTTAAAACTCACGGCACTGTGTTTGAACACATTTTCCAACACTTCTAGTGATGCCCTCATTGTAGACACTGAAGAGGCCTTACTAAGGCAGAAGAAAACCAGCCGCAGCTCATTGCCACAACACACAAAGTACAGTGCAGAAGCCAGACATTCCAATAGACAACATGGAATGACTCTTTTATTCCACAAACAGAGAAAAACTCAGAATTATCTCTTTCCAAATGTGTAAAATCCTCTAACCAGTGCATGGGCTTACTTACCAGAGAGTACTAAGGACAAACTTTATTTTGTTTGTAAATCTAAAGCAAATTAATTCTGTGGTATTTAGTGACTAGTAGGTGGTAGGTATAACTGTAGCGGTTCCACCTCCTCCAGCATTGCCCTGTCAGTATAGTCAGAGTACTAGGGACCAGCGCTTTGGATACTAGTCATAGTTGCAGTAGCAAAAAAAGTGATAATGATATTTTATATTATGTCACAATTATTAATGCTCTTGCATACAATAAATCTATAACCCTAATACAAATGACTTTAATCTTTTTTGCAGAACCACAAACCTCAGCTATCCTTTAAGGTTTTAGCAGAGCAGAAACTCTGGTATTATTAAGGCCTGGTTCACACCTGTACTTTTTGTAGCGCGTTCAACGCTCTACGAACGCTCTACAAAACGCTCAAACATGAAAATCCCATTGTTTTCTATGGGTATGGTTCACACCTTGCCGTATTTCCGCCCGTCTGAACGCGCTACAAAACGGCCTACGCCTGAAAAGGTACATGAGCTTCTTTGCGGCGTTTTTGTAGCGCGTTTCCATTGGGATACAGCCAAGTAGCCCTTGGAAACGCGCGTTTGGCACGCGTTTTATTTACCGCGAATCGCTGTAAAAATGCACGTCACGAAACACTCGACAAACGCGCATATTCGATACGCCTAGGTGTGAACAGAGCCTTACTAAATTAGTCATACAGGTTTAATTTCGACCTGTAGAAGAAGTACAAAGAGCAATAAATCTACACTGCTGAGACAGATAAGGGAATTCTTGTTACACAGAGAGGAATCTGCAAATTGACCTGCAAATTCACTTCAGCCCTTCTATACTACAGACATCACAGTTTTCTCTAAATCGGGGCCCCCTCCTATCCAAGGAGCCATCTATGTGCACTGCTATACCTATTGTTACACCGCTGGCTCATACTGTTCTGAGTAAAGTTAAAGGCAAACTTTATTTAATGTCCCCTGGCTAACAACAATGTGAACAATCACCTTTGAATATTATTGAAAGGTCCCCTCTTTGGGGCAGAATTTCTTTGAATCCTCATCCTCTCTTCTCCTGTAATTTGATTAATTTAGAGGTGTATATAGATCCTGTAGTGAAATTACACACAGCCTGTTGCACAGAATGTGGCATCCCCAGCATATTTGTTTTACTCTCTCTGCTGCCCCCCCCCATGGAGAATGGCAGACCTGCAGGCTGCATACAAGTGATCTTGGCGACATCACCGAGATCACTTGTACAAAACAAGTGGCAGCTTCTCCGCTGTATATTTAGCTCTGCTTGCCAAAAGCAGGGCAAAATGTAGAAAACAACTACCCGCCCGGCCCCTCTACTCCCTGCTGCCCCAAGGCCGGGCCTTGGTTTGCTTTGTGGGAAATCTGGCCCTGGATGTGGGGTGTGCATTGTGTTTCCTATTGTCAATCAAGGGGTTATAATAATGGCAGAACCCTCTACTTTACACAATAACACTAAAATAGTTCAGAATGCAACTATATCAATATTTACAGCATTTTAATTTACAGGATCTTCCATAATTTTTCACCTAACTTATAGGGGCTGCTCTGTACTGATGATATTTTACTGTCTTTTACCGCTTGCAAAGCTATGCACATCATGTGCATGCTTCATCGCTGCTGTTGGGCTGTGTATTGAGAGAATTTAGTTGCAAACTAAACCTCCCACTAAAACCTATAGGAGGACATTCTCCTCCTGTATGCCTCCATCAGCAGTGGAGACTTCATGGAGATGGTGGACCCAGATATTCCCAGGCAAATTACGGAGTTATTATGTATTGTGTACCAGCGATGGTGACTCTGTTTGCCTCAGCTTGGTCTCCAGAGATAGCAGTTTTCCTTCACTCCTGATCAGCTGGATCTGCAGCTCATCACACTTCTCGCCTAGCTCTCGGATCTGTTTGCGATAGGCATCCTTATCCTTCAGACTTTTGGCATACTGTGAATGGAATTCTTCTCGGGTTGCAATTGCCTGAACACATGGACACATGAATAAAACAAACTATTCAGCTATGGCTAAAACGAAATCTCACTGTATACATAAAATCAAACAAACTGGTTCAGGTAAGTATATAGGCTTCAGTTATAGATATGCTTTAAATCGGTGGTGATCAACTTACTTGATATTGGGGGGCCTCAAATGCAGCCCCCTACATCGCCAAAAGACAGCACATATAACTCAATAAATGTAATGCTACAGAAAGCTGTCAGAAACTGCAGACATGCTACAGGAGATGGTCAGAGCCTGCAGACATGCTACAGGAGATTAAAGTCCAAGTATCCCATCGCACTCCTGACCCGGAAAATGCCCATGGAGCAGGGCGGGTGCAGCAGCAGCAACAACGGATGCCTCCGTCAAAAACGTACGAAATAATAAAGTCACCGGCACTCCAAGTATTCAAGTCAATAAGTTTATTGACCCAAGTGTAAAAACCTCTAGCAACGTTTCGGGACCATGAAAGGACAATACAGAAAAAGCAAGATAGTGTGAAAGAAAGAAATCAAAGCATTTAACTATTGGTTGCGCAGTCTAAAGAATAATGTTTCTTCACTGGCTTGAGTGAGCACCTAGGTAAGGAAATATAGGCAAATGTCTGCAGGGCCACATACGGTCCCCGAGCCACAGGTTGGCCACCAGGACTTTAAAGCTTACCACCAGGCAAACAGCTCAACACAATGGTATACAATTTGAAAAAAAAAAAAAGTTATTGGATTTTAAATGAAAGATGTTACATACCATATTGCGTTCTATGCACACTTCTTCCATCTGTTGTACAATGGCTTCTATTCGCTCCTTGTACATCTTTGAGTCTTTCTTCAGGGCTGTGCACTGCAGTTCTAAAACCTCCTTCTCTTCTAAGTACTGGGGGACACAAGAAAAAGGCATTTACTGTACACATGCAAGGTGAGCACTCATGTTTTGTGTGCAGTCCCACAGAGCATATAGGAGGACATTTATCAAAACTGGAGCAGACAAAATCTGGAGCAGCTGCACATGGCAACCAATCAACAACTCTCTTTCATTTCCAACTGAGGAGAGAAGCTGATTGGTTGCCATGCACAGTTGCTCCAGATTTTGTCTGCTCCAGGTTTGATAAATTCCCCCCATAGTATTTTCATGTCTTAAAGTGGTTTGCTCCAATACTTGACCGCAAGGTGGTAACGTATCCATTATCTCAACAGAGAAAACAACATGGCACCTCTCAAGCTAACATAGGACATAATATGAAACTGAATCAGTCAGGTGTAAGGCAATAGGATGGTAAAAGCAGACTAAAAAGGGTGCAGAGACTTTTCAGCCATTGCTGACTTAACAGCAGTGGACAATCTGTAGTTATGGCATGATATCAGGAGCTCCGACTGCCTCTCTGTGCCTGAAAACTGAATATAATTATTCAAGCTAGCCAAGCCTATTAGATTTGTTTGTTCAGAATAAAATACACTTGCATATCACGCTTTTACATTAGTGCTTTAGATTCTCCCATTCGTGTCCGATGCCATGTGCAAAAATACATTATGCATAATGGTAACCTTCTTTCTTATACTGAATGGCAGCCCATACATCATGTTCATACAAGAGGGCACAATGGTTGACATGCTATCCAGTGACTGGTAGAGGTCACTGGTATGATAGCACTCGTATATCTATGTACCTTTTCTCGGAGGTCCTCGGCCTGCCGCAAACTCATTTTAAGCGTGTACAATGTGTTAACCATGTCCTGATACTGCTCCAGGGCCTGCCTACGCTCATCTTCAAGATCCTGGATGTACAGTCGCGTCTTCTCTGACGTTTCTCCTTTCGGCATGTTCTGAAAGGTAAATATGTCATTCGTAAATGTACAATTTCAAAAGATGACAAAAATAAGCTTTAGAGGTGTCAAGCAATGTCTGGAACCTCACTGTACACTGTCTCATACACTGTCATTTGAGTTGTGAGAGATTTTTTGCTTAAAAGAAATGTAAAAACTGACTAACAGAAACAGTTGGATAGAAATGGCCACCACCTGCAGTTGTAATGGTGCAAGAGATGCAATTCTTTCGAATTACTTCCCAATTAGCTACATATTATGTACAGTGGTTGGGCCATTCCACATATTTGCCTTAATGAGACCCTGTTGCCAGGCCATTCCATCAACAAAAATCTTTTCATTACATTATATGTGCATTCAGCATATTGTTGGCATTTTAATTACCTGCTAAGGGCCTCCTTTGTGTAGACATCCAAAAGCCTTGAGACTGCTGGGCACCACCATCTTGGATGGAACATCAGCAATACCAGCAGATTCAGAGCTGCCACTCAAGTGACGCTTTATTCTAATCCCCTTTGCTCTCCCACAGCTACAAACAGATTATATAGGGAGGTGAAGGGCATTGGAGCTGGGGCAGTAGAGAGAGTAATTAGAAACTCCCAAAAGACATGGGACATGCAAGGAAGGAGGAGGCTGCACTAGGGAATGAATTCTTCCTGAATTAGTCACATTTTCTAGAAAGTTCAAAAGACACATTGAGTTGAATGAAAAATGATTTATGGAAAAGAAAACCCTGCAAGTAAACAATTGAAATACTTGATTTTTCAGTGTTTTTAACTGACTTTTGACCATTGTGACAGGGTCTCTTTAATATGTGAGACACTTAAATATAGTTCTTGGTTGCAGATATGGACAGTATCAAATACAGTTGTGTGAAAAAGTGTTGGCCCCCTTCCTGATTTTTCATTGTTTGTCACACTTTACTGTTTCAGATCATCAAACAAATTTAAATATTAATCAAAGATAACACAAGTAAACACAACATGCAGTTTTTAAAAGGAAGGTTTTTATTATTAAGGGAAAACAAATTCCAAACCCACATGGCCCTGGGTAAAAAAAGTGTTTGCCCCCTAAACCTAATAACTGGTTGGGCCACCCTTAGCAGCAAGAACTGTAATCAAGCGTTTGCGATAACTTGCAATGAGTCTGTTACAGCGCTGTGGAGGAATTTTGGTCCACTCATCTTTGCAGAATTGTTGTAATTCAGCCACATTGGAAGGTTTTCGAGCATGAACCGGCTTTTTAAGGTCATGCCACAGCATCTCAATAGGATTCAGGTCAGGACTTTGACTAGGCCACTCCAAAGTCTTTATTTTGTTTTTCTTCAGCCATTCAGAGGTGCACTTGCTGGTGTGTTTTGGATCATTGTCCTGCTGCAGAACCCAAGTTCGCTTCCGCTTGAGGTCACGAACAGATGGCCGCACATTATCCTTCAGGACTTTTTGGTAGACAGCAGAATTCATGGTTCCATTTATCACAGCAAGTCTGCTTGTCACAGTCACAAGTCACAGCAGCAAAACAGCCCCAGACCGTCACACTGCCACCACCATATTTTACTGTTGGTATGATGTTCTTTTCTGAAATGCGGTCTTACTCTTACGCCAGATGTAATGGGACACACACCTCCCAAAAAGTTCAACTTTTGTCTTGTCAGTCCAGAGAGTATTTTCCCAAAAGCCTTGGGGATCATCAAGATGTTTTCTGGCATAACTGAGACAAGCTTTTATGTTCTTTTTGCTCAGCAGCAGTTTTCGTCTTGGAACTCTGCCATGCAGGCCATTTTTGCCCAGTCTCTGCCCAGTCTCTTTCTTATGGTGGAGTAATGAACACTGACCTGAACTGAGGCAAGGGAGGCCTGCAGTTCTTTGGATGTTGTTGTGGGGTCTTTTGTGACCTTTTGGATGAGTCATCGCTGCGCTCTTGGGGTAATTTTGGTTGGCCGCCCACTCCTGGGAAGGTTCACCACTGTTCCATGTTTTCGCCATTTGAGGATAATGGCTCTCACTGTGGTTCGCTGGAGTGCCAAAGCTTTAGAAATGGCTTTATAACCTTTTCCAGACTGATAGATCTCATTTATTTTCTTTCTCATTTGTTCCTGGATTTCTTTTGATCTCGGCATGATGTGTAGCTTTTGAGGATCTTTTGGTCTACTTCACTTTGTCAGTCAAGTCTAAAGGTGCCCATACACTTTACAACCATCGCAAGACCTTAGTCTTGCGATGGTTGTAAAGTACTTAAAAAAAGTACGATCTGCCCATCTTGGACAGTCAGATCGTACTTGCGATCATCGCAAGCCCGCCCC